TCGAGCGACTCTTACGCTTCTTTCGTGCTTAGCAACCTCCCGCGTGCATCCATAACTCAATAGTGTACGCTGTGGTGTTTACCATTTGTTAATTAATGCTATCTGTTTGGCTTTGTCAGTGGTCTCATCAATTTTTATTCAAAACGTAGCAACAGCAACAACATCTTACCACATGTTCGTAGAATCAAAGGTGTGGTCAGAAAGTAGGGGTTAGGAAACATCTGCTTCCCATCTTTGATGAAAGAAAGCAATTTCTTTCATGGGTTGTCAGGGAATTCAGTTACGTCCTATAACAATTTTCTCAAGCGAGGTGTATTTTTCCCAGGTTGCTTACTTCGTATCAGAGTTGAAATCGAAGGATGAAGCAAAGGATGAATGTTGGGACCCTTCCCTGGTATCCAGTGCTTTTTTATCACCATGGTTACGCCCCCGTAAAGTAGAGAGTCCCCACCCAGTTAGAGATGACTACCAGTGCTTTAAAACAGTGGTGTTACCAGGCGCTTCATGTCTGTATCTTAACTTTGATCCGAGATGTGCCACTCAGTATGACTATGATAAGGTAGGACAAATCACAGTGGTCTGTTACCGCGGACAACGCTGTTGAAATCCTTACAATGGTTCCTTCGCCTCACGTCAGGAAATTTTCGTGAATTTTTTTGTTGGCATGTGGCTCTTCAAAAGTTTTTGCTTTCGGATCGCGTTCGGCCGATAGACAGTTGACGATAAATGTCATCTTAGCTTACAGTCCTACAGAGTCAAAGTGTTTAATATTCTTGTATTCCTCCACGTTTTATGATACAATACTTTTAGATTCAATTCAAGAATGTCGAGAGAGTCGTTTTTGTAAAAAAAGATAAAGATTGTTAACCGTCCTTCGACCAGGTAGTTGTGTACGCTGGCAACAACACAAATGGTCGCAAAGTTGCTGAGTTTGGTGGTAACTCGCATGGCGCAGGCAGCAGAAGTGTTGTACGGATGGGATGGCCCAAGGAACCTATCAAGGTGGAAGGTGACGCAGTCACCATCTCATTCCAAGTGAAGAGTTCACGGGAGCGTAACACCCCTGATATTGCTGTGTGGGGATTCAGTTGCATTATTAGCACCAAGGTAGGTCAGTTTTTCTGATATCTATTGACATAGTAAAGCGAGGGCCCCGAAGGAACTTAGAGACTCAGGGACTGACGCAAAGGACCCGGGAAGCTACTATTGAACATCTTCCCCC